TAAAATTGAGCTATTTGGCCTTGAATTTTAGAATTAAGTATTTAGCCTTGACATCTGTTACTAATATATTCCTATATATGTTAGGATCCTTTAATTCCTCATAATGGTATGGGTATAATTAGGTCAAGGACATGTAAAACCAGGATATTATTCTGTTACTTAGTTAATATCATACACGTCTCAGTTTGTTACAATTAGTTAATGTCAAAAGAAGAATGGCTTGTGGTCTATCTTGCAAATACCTTAAAAGAAGCATTCAATTTAATTAGGGGTTATTTCTTTGAACATGACCAGAAATTGGAATTATTTTATTACTTGATATGTACTGTTTTAAAATTGATCCCTCAATGTATTATGTATGTACTGGAGTCCATTTTTTTTATAAAAACTGTTCTGTTACTAATTCCTTGGTGGAATCTCATCTTCCTGATGGGGGAGTGAGTGTGAAGCATAAAAACTGGGTTCTAATTTTGAATAACTGGGTTCTTATTTTCCTGTTTTTATTTGAGTTTCTTATCAACATGACAATTGACCAAGGTTCCAATTTTGATTTTATAGTAATAGAGACATTATTCGACCTGGTTATTGGCAAGGTAATTTAAAATTGTATTAAGATCAATTTTGTAGGAGAGTAGACACAAGAAAGAGGATCTCTACAAGAAGACAGTCGGCTAGAGACTGCTTGAACAACACTCTGAGCAGAAAACTTTATCAGATGATGTCCCCCCAGACAGCTGTATGAGATGAGATTTCTGAGCCTTAATGGACTATTTATTGTTTATTTTTTCCCCTTGCTATTTACTTGCAAAGGGGACTGCCCCTTTGATTTGTCAATGCATCAATCAATTTCTCCTTCCCCTCTCCTATATTGTTATAAGTCCCCCAAATCCCTTGATTAAGTGTTGACCATATCAGTTAGTGATTCATTGAGAAGGTTATACCTCTCATTAGGATTAAATGGGGGAATGTGAAAAATGATTTCTCTCAGTAATCTGTGTCTTGGAGACTCAGAGCTCTACCCCCCCAGCCTTCTGCTCCAAAGTTCTTCAGAAGGACATTACAGATAATGAGATTGCATTGAATTTTCTTATCCTGGTCAACCTCCAATCCAGGCCTGAATTGATTTTATTTTACTCAGGCTTGAGCGGAGACAGATTTCCTCTGCCTAGTTAGCCCAAAGACTGGGGGTAATATTTCCTCTATCAGATGGCAGGTGATACTAGCCCCAGTAGACCAAGATAGTGACCTAAGTTACATACTCAAGACCTCATTTTAATATAGCCCACCTCCCGGTAAGTCGACCAATCAAGGCTGATTGGCATCCCTTGGGAACACCTACTCTTCGAAGGACATATAACCCTGTACCCCAAATCCCAAATCAAGCCAAATCGACTCCCTTAGGAGAGTCCAGTTTTGGACTGAGCTCCTATGCAAGCCAGCTTGAGAGAAATTAAATCGTGGACACACACAACCTAATTTCTTTTATCCCCTTCTTAGAACAGACTCTGTAACTTACTGGGGTTAGATAAGCTAAAGATGGAAATGACAAACCACTCCAGTATCTTTGTCAAGAAAATCCCAAATAGGGTCACAAAAAGTCAGATGTGACAGAAATGACTGAACAACAACAAGAGAGGTGGTGAACTCCTGGCATAAAATGCTATATTATCCTTTTATTTTGGCTTAACTGTTTTTCTCTAAAAAGTTGCAGGGATGATTTTGGGAAAGTAACTAAAAATAATAATTAAAACATTTAACTTTTTTCAAATAGTGCAGAAAAAGAAAGTCATTTAATCCTTCTGTGTCCAAGTTTACTCATCGACACAAATCTGGAGTTAGAATAGATGGTCTCTGGGTTCCCTCCCAGTTCTACATGTTATGATGCTATGAAGTATAGAATGAACCATGGATTTTTGTCTATGAGACTTTTTGTAGATCCCAAACTCAAAGCAATTACTGCAAGGTCACCTGTGAATAGGCACTTTTCAATGCTAATTTGGATATGATACATAATATATATGCTAATATATACATTAGCATATCAAAACCAAATCACTTTTCAATTACTCAAGCCCCAGGCAGATCTGTGGTTATCCTCAATCCACAAAGGATTTAGAGAGGAGGATTGGGTTTGGTGGCTTTTTTTTTTTGGTTTTTTTTTTGCTTGGTTGGTTTTTTTGTGATAGCTATAGTCAAGGCAGATTGGATTGGGGTTGGGGGAGGGGAGGAGTACTGACAGCAATAGAAAGCAAAGAGTGGGACATTACCATTCTCCATTATATCAGGGATTATTTTTTCTGTGTTGGTTGGAAATGCTGATGGAGTTATGGGTTTTTTATGAAAGACAAAGTTCAAGTCTTGCTACATAAAGCAAGCAACAAATGCTTATCAGGGTAAAATGAGAATCTATAAAGCAATCAACAATGTAATAACGTTTTTGCTAGTGACTACCACCACAATTAAGGAAGGTACGTTATGAAAAAGAAGTCTCTATAAATTTATTAAAAGTATTTTCTTCCGAACAAAATCTCATTAAAATCCCCTAAATTTTATAAACAGAACTATTTCCTTTCTTCAGTATTTAGTAGATCTCTTCTTCTTCAGGTACCCTTAGGTAATCAGGTGAAAATTATCATTTTTGCCATAGGCTCAGTTTCCTGAGCACACCCCACCTCCAATGGGAAACTCTGTTAAGAGATCCACAGATTAAGAAATGGGACATAGGAATGATTTTATCTAGCTCTTTCATTTTATAGGAATTTGAGGAAACTGAGACCCACAGAGGTTTAGTTGAGATTTATTTTATAAAAAAAAAAAAGTATCTATTTTAAGCTCCATTTTGTATACTACTCAACAGCTACCAGATATCAAAAAACGAATCACAATAAATTTGTATACTTTCTTAAAATCAGTAGACTAGCTGCTTATATGTTTTAGCCCCAAACCACTAAAAATGAAGTTTCCCTGTATTTCTAGATAAAAAAAAAAATTGCCAAGTTAAGTCCTAGAAATTAATAGCGAAAAGAACTGAAAAGAGCCAAAATCCATTTTCTGAAAGCTGTCCCAAATGAGATGAAAGGAAAATGAATCCAGGATGAAAAGCTGAATGGTTTGGTTTTTTTTAAAGTATCCAGAGTCTGGCCAAGGGTAGAAACAAATACCCAGAAAAGAGTGTAATGTTTGGAACTGACCCAACAAGGGAAAGAAAGGACTTTGGACCCAGAAGAGAAATGCTGACATCACTGTTAAGCTGCTAGGTTAGCAGAATCATAATCTGAATGTTTAGTTCAGGGTATTTAAAAATTCACAGGACATTTTTGGAAGTAAATGGTAGTGAAGGGCTCCAAAGATGGCAGGCTCATTAAAAATAATTAGATGTGATTGAAAAAAACAGTTCAGTAAATTTCTTGTGAGCTCCTAAATCAATGGTAATGAAACTGGCTTAAATGATACTAATTGGCTGCAAATTTGGAGGCTTATAGTGTTGCTGAAGTATTACATTAAAATAAATTTCTGTCTACCATTGACCCATTTATATAAAGCTTGATTTAGTGCTAAACAACTTGAGATATTTGTCCAAGATAAAAATTGATTTTTTCTCTATCCAAAACGTTTTTAATTAGTGAAAACATGAACACAGAAAAGTATTTGCTCTCACCTTCAAAAATATCATGAAATTTAGAGATACAATTAGAAACAAATCCTATTTTAATCTCTATGGGCATTCCATAAATGGATGAAACTCAGAGCAGATACATTAACATTAGACTATTTCAAGGATGAGAATCAGAACTAATTAACAAGGAAGATGTTACTATCGACAAGCTAATGATATAAGACACTAAGTTAGCTAGCAAAAACAAAGTCCTGATATGATTAAAATTTCAATTAATATAAAGTTATACCCCTCCAAAAAGTTAAAACCTTTCAAGTGCAGATGGCTAAACTCATGCTTTCTCATAATCCTTTCAGAGGAAGCCATCCCCATACTGGTGGCCTTCTTTGAGATCTCATGATATTTATTATCTGGGTATCAATGGGTTATGTAGGTCATCCATGAATTATTCCTCACTCTATTGTCACTCACTATCTTTGGCCAACCTGCCTCCTTCTTATGTCATACATCTCTAGGACAATCCTTTACCCAACATCTGTTCAATTCTCCCTGAGTAATACAACAATATGTTGCAGTCTATTCCAATAACTTCACCACACAAAGCATGACAAACAACATAGGTTACAATCTTGATATTTTATTTCAAACCATCACAACAAAATATGCAGTAAAATCCTATTGATTTATTATTTATATGTCAGTTTCTAACAAAAACAAATATACTGCATTCCTCTTCCCCATTCCCATCCCCAGCCACTTTGAGGCAGTGAAGCATAGTGGGTAAAGAGCCAGATTCAGAGTCAGGGAGACCTAGGTTCAAGTTGCCACCTTTGACCCATAAATGGGCTGTGTAACCAAAGGTAAGACACTCAACGTTAACTCTTCAAGACTTTAAATTGCAGAAGAGTTGTCCAATCTTCACTGTTTGAGAGAGTTTCTTCATAAAGGTTCCCACCCCAATGAAATTATAGGTACAGGAGGAAAAAAGCCAAAACATTTTGAGTAACATTTTTAGCAATTTATTATAGTCCTAATGATGTATTAATGATATACAATAGAACTCCTCTCTTTATTATAATGGTGTATAATGGATTTTTTTCTATTAAAAAGGATTTTTGAACAATAAGTCAAAAGAAGAGACTCCAGGCATAAAAATTCCCTCCACCAAGAGACTTGAAGGTGTCTATGCCTTATTGGTTTAGTCTTTACCCAGAGTCACTTAGAGGTAGTAACAGTCAGGGGCAGGATTTGAACGAGGTCTTCCCAACACTAAGCCTGTTACTCTTAACTATTCTGCTGCCTGTTGCTATCACTGAAAGACATTAAAAAATCTATTCTCCTTTCATGAAGAAAAGGTCTATTTCTTTTCCTAACTCTTGCTTACCTGAGTTGACAATGTCTCCAATTTTCGTTTCCTTGCGTGCAATGCTTTGCTTGGAAAAGCCCAGAAATAATTAGATGTCCCAATCCTCTCAGAGTCCACCATGCCATCATCAACTAGGCTTTGAAGGACTTCCTTCACTGACATAGCAGCTACCAGAAAGAAAAACAATATTATAAATTTAAATGAGAATCACACAAAGATAACACATAAATGGAAAATTGCATTAATGGCACTTAAGGTATAAAGGGTTAAAATGCCCCTAGAAAGAGACATATGTCTCAATACTCTTTTTAATCTTCTTAAGGTCTGGACTTTATTCAAAAGAACCTAAGGCCCCCCAAAAAAGAGCCTAAGGCTTAAGTCAGTTTGCATGTGCCTGTATTTTACATGGGGAGTAAAATTATTACCTTTGATGTTATTGTCTTTGATTTTCATGAGAGACAGCATGGTGCAGGGGATAGAGAGAGTCAGGAGGAACTGAATTCAAGTCCAGCCCCTGATACATGCTAGTCATGTAATATTGGGCAAGTCATTTAACCTCTTTGCCACATCAATGAAACCATTGGTATGGATCAAAAAAAAAAAAAAAAAAGCAACTATATCTAGAAGACCAGGCAAGATTTAGGAGATACATGGGGAATGATCTTGTGAAATTATCCAGATGCTTTAAGGGATCATGGGCCAAGGCAGCATGCTGCTGAATATGCCAATTCTGATGTGTTGAACATGTTGGCCACCTCTTCTCAAAGCAGTCCTTTGCGCCGGTGTCAGCACACACTAACATTTATTTTCTCTAACTGGATTCTTGTTTTTGATATATTCTTTAAAATCTCTTTTTATTCATTTTGAAGTTTCTTCCTAGAAATTTCTCAAAACTTTCGCTGGCCTGCCTCATTGCTAGTTTACACCAGGCTGGCTAGTTTTACAAAGTTACACAGCCCATTTACGGGTTGAAGGTGGCCACCTGAACCCAGGTCTCCCTGGCTTTGAGTCTGGCTCTTTATCCACTGTGCCTCACTGCCTCAAAATGGTTGGAGACGAGGATGGAGGAGACATGGTAGAGACATGGTAGAGACTCCCTGGACCAGTTCTTCTGTAATTCACCTTAGAGAGTTGCCTGGGGGTTAAATGAGTTGACCAGGGTCACACAGCTAGCATGTATCAGGGGCTCGACTTGAACCCAAGTCCTCTTGACTTCCTTTATCTATCGTACCATGTGGTCTCTCATGAAAATCAAAGACATTTGTAATAATATCATTCCCCATGTTAAATACAGGCACATGCAAACTGACTTAGACCTTTGAAATAGAAAGAAAAGCCAACACACAACAGAATAACCTAAATATCTTAACAGTCAAGAGGTTGCATAGTCAAATATTCTTACAGGACTTTCATCCATTTTTTATAAATGACTGCACACTTATGCAAACAAAATGTTCAAATTAAATACAAATAAATACTGATATTTAAGCTTGTAAAACATGAAGTGAGCATCTCTCACAAATACACCAATGGACCAGAGATCTCATTCATGAGGGAACTCCCTCCATCTCTTAAGACTGTAACCAATCTATACTCACTTGTCTCATGATACCTTTTGTCCATGTTTCCCCATTAGCTTCACCTATGGAGGGTCCCCAATAAGCTGAGACTTTCCTTATTTTCTCTTGACGCCATGAGGTTACTATACCAGCATAGCACTCAGGCTGCTCATTATGTGTTATCAGTGATGAATGTATCACTGTGCAACAGACTTAATTTTTCTAACTTTGAAAAGAAACTAGAGTCACTGAACCATGTTACTTACTTAATTGACCAGGGAAGTAAGAATTCACTTGTGTATAATGATTTATTGAAAGCATATAATTATGAAAATATTATGAAGCAGCTAATTGGCGCAATCAAAAGAATGCGAGGCCTGGAGTCAAAACGACCTGTTCAAATCCAGCCTCAGACACTCACTGACTGTGTCACCTGGGTAAGTCACTTAATCTCTATTTGTCTCAGTTTCCTCAATTATGAAACAGGGGATAATAATAGCCCCTACCTCATGGGACTGTTGTGAGAATCAAATGAGATGTTTATAAAGTACTAAGCAGAGTCCCTGGCACACAGTAGGTGCTATATAAATACTTGCTATTATTGTAAGGATCAAATGAGTTAAAATTTGCAAAGTGCTTTGCAAACCGTAAGTGCAACATAAATGCTAGCTATTATTAATCAGCACATAATTGAGAATATAAATTGCTCTATAAATTTTCAGAACTAAAATCAATTTGTAACAATGATTTCAGTCATCAAGCTCTCTGTATCTTCAGTTAAATTCTGTTTAATTAGGAGATACTATTGTATAATAGTGTACAGGACTTGTAATCCTGTTCATATCGACATCTTGTAGCAAGTTCAAATCAACACTTCCCAGTTCCACGACCATGCATAAGTCACTTAATATCCCATAGCCTCTGCTTCCTTAAAATTGAGACAATAAGAGCTGGAGAATCTACATCTGAGTACTGTTGGGAGGTTCACAGTAGATAAAGGAGATTTAAAAAGCACTCAAAAATCTGGCCAAGACCATTGCCTGAACAAAAGACACTACCACCTAGCTCCTACAAACCAATTCCAACAAACCCCTGAAGTCCACACTAAACTGAAAACTGATGAAGAAATTGAAAGCAAAACTGTAATAAGTGACTTTTCCCATCCCACAACAGCACAAAAAGTCAGCCAGCAGCCCACGAGCAATAGGAAATGGGGCTGTAAGCCAGCAAAATTCATGCCAGCACAACCAGCTGGTGTGGCTCTGTGTTCAGATGGGGCAAGGGTAGAAGGCTCCCCTAAGAAAGCTCCAGGATGGTCAGAAAGCCCCAGGGTGGGGACCTTAGAAGACCAGGGGAGCAGCAGGCAGCACCTGACTACAGCACTCAGACCAAGATACCCTAGGCCAGGATGTCTGGGGTCTCTAACATTCTGTCCTGAGATCCTGGAGTGAGCCCTGACAATCTAGTGCTCCTAACCTCAAAGATACAAGGAGGACGAACCCCTTGGTTCAAGGCGGAAGTTAGCTCAACAACTAGCTCTCTCAGGGAGACACTAAGTAGGGCTGAAGACCTCACCCAAAGTACAGAAAGGGGCAAAGTATGGCCTTGGTTTGGCATATAGCCTCAATTCAGGAAGCAAAGATGGAAAGGAGTAAATCAAAGAAAACATTCACCAGTATCAACAATTATTTCAAATCTAGACACTATACTCCCCCAAAAAGGAGTTAAGTCTATAACAACTTTAAGCTTAGACTCAAAGGAAAAAAGGGATTTTCTACAGGGATTATATGAATACTTAGAACAAATGAAGCAAGAGATAAAAAAATGAAATAAAATCTCTGGGAGAAAAAAATCAGAAGAATAATAAGTAACTTAGAAAAGAAAGTGGTAAATCAAGCAGGAAATGGATTCCCTGAAAACTTGAAAACAACAACAAAAAAATCAGTGACTCCATGAGACAAGAAATACTGAACAAAATCTATAGACTGAAAAAAATAGATAGAATTAAGATATTTGATATAAAAAAAATGAACTGGAAAAGATGTCAAAAAGAAAGATCATTTATGAATCAATTAACTCCCTGATTTAAAAAAAAAAAAAAAGCCTGGATACTATATTGCAAGAAATCATAAATGAAAAATATCCAGATCTATTAGGACCAGAGGGCAAAGTAAAGATAGGGAAACAAAATCTACTGATCACCTCCTGGAATGAATCCTCAAAGGAAAATTCCCAGGAATGGCATAGCCAAAATCCAGACTCCCTATGTAAAAGAAATAATACTATAAACAACCAGAAAGAAGCAATTCAAAGATCAAGGAAATCGTTAGGAATACATAAAACCTGGCAGCTTCAAATAAAAATCAGAGATCTTGGAAAACAATATTATAAAAAGCAAAAGATAGAAGATTACAACCAAGAATAATAACCAGCAAAGCTTAGTATAATCCAACAAGAGAAAAAATCAGATCTTTAATAGAATAAAGGACTTTCAAGCATTTCTAGTGAAAGAGGAACTATGAAATACAAATATAAAAGTACAGAAAAACCTAGAAAGGTAAATTTATTTGAACAATTGAAAGGAGGTATATCATGATATAGTGCTGACATTCTAGTAAGGGGCAAAGAAATAAGTGTCCTTCAGAACCTTAAATGTTTTCAGAGGATATTGAGAGAGAGAAACAAGCAAAAAGAATGGTTTGGGAAATAGATTGATTTTGGTCTGAGGGTTTTAAGAGGGGAAAGAGAAGGGTAGGTAAAAGGAATACTTTAATGTAGAAAAAAAGGAGAAATGGTTGGAACTTGCTATTTCTTATAATTGCGGTGTTTAAGAAAAGCATACAAGGGCAGCTAGGTGGCACAGTGGATAGACCTGAGTTCAAATGCAACCTCAGACCAAACACTTGACACTTACTAGCTGTGTGACCCTGGGCAAGTCATTTAACCCCAATTACCTAAAAAAAAAAAAAAAACATGGAAGAAAGGGAGGGAGTGGGCATCAGACTGTTGCATGAATTTTCTTATTGATTTGACTAGTTAATGCCAGTAAGCCAGCATGAACCAGAGGAACAGGTTTTATTACACCCAGTGTGTGAAATACCTCACTGGTAATTGATGGAGAATATATTTCATTCACTACTAGCAGTACTTATATATTACATAAAACAAACAAACAAAAGATGATTGCTTATTATAGTACAGCTGTTTTTTCTTTTTTTTTAAGTATGCTTGTTAAAGAGAATGTATATCATTAGCTACAGGAGAGAGATAAAGGATATGTCCTTTATTATAGCTAGTTTCACTAAATCAAAAAGAACTGTCAGGTTAAAGGAAAGGGACATTCCAGATTATATCATCTCCTTTTTAATTTTTTTTTTTTTTTAGCAATTAAGTCTTTTTGTACAAATTAGAAAAGGAAAGAAGGCAATGAAGGACACTAGCTTTCCAAAAGGTCCTGAAGCTCACAGAAGGGTCACACACAGCAAAATGGTGAAAACAGAACAAAATGGAGTTATATTCTCCCAAAAATTCACATTCAACAAGATGAATCTCACTCTTACCTGAGATGACAAAGGAGGGCTGAACGAACACATATAAATGCACAAACACTCACAGAGTCTTATGTAGAAATATAGAAAGCTCAATAGGGAAATAAGCAGGGATTTAAAGGGAGGATAATACTGTGGGGAAAAGGGTCACAAGTAAAACAGACATCCTGATGCTGAGGGGAAGGGGGATATACATATTTTATATATATATATATAAAGTTTCCTATAAAAATCCTCTTTTTGTGTTCTCTATCATGGAAATGTTTTTTTGGGTGTAAGACAACTAAAACACCTCAAAAATAACAGCATTCACTTTAAACAAGATATTTTAAAACATATATCTAATCAAATTACAATAGCCATATCCTTCCATAAATCAAACAGAAAGGACAGCACCAAAAAACTGCTCAAAGACAAATGCCGAGACACAGAGAGGCTAAACATATCTGTCACCGAGAGGCCTAAAGATACCACATTTCATTGAGAAGCTGAGATGTCAACTTTGAAATGGAGTTTGGAAGATATAATTCAAATGCAAAACTGGCATTTTCAAATGTTTCATCAGAATTATAGTTAATTTTACTTTGCATTTTTATAACCATCCTTAGCTCTTTTTCCCTTTGGATTCATTTTATCTTCTCTATAACAACTGTCAAAAGAAGCAGTGCTGCTGTAATGGACAGAGGCCAGCCATGGCTTCCTGAAGACCAGGGTTTAATCCTGTCTCTGATACATACTACATGTGCATAGTCCTAACACATGTCTTTGTCTCTGTGTTACAGAGGAGCTTCAGACCTACATCAGTGAAGGGTGTTCTCCACTAGGGAGATCTCCACATGAATGGAATCACAAAAATGACAACAGTCATTGCTAGGATTTGTTATTGCTTTGAGATTAGTAAAATGCTGTACGTACATTATCTAAGCTTATTGTCACAACCTTGTGAGGTAAATATTATTATTATGCTCATTTTAGATGAGTAAACTGAGTTTCAGAGAGGTCAAAAGACTTGCCCAAGATCCCATAGCTAGTAAAGGATTTAAATATAGGTCTTCCTGACTCCTACTTCAATGCCCTTTGTACTCAAAATAAAAGGAAACAAACACAATAACACAGTTGCAGAAAAGAAAAAGTCCAGTGTACCAAAAAACACAAAACAAAACAAAAACAACAACAAAAAAACAAACAAAATCTAACAGTAACTTCCTTGAATCTTTACAGTGACAAAAAATAACAGTAATGTGCATACTTACTAATTCCTTTCTCTCTGGGAGCAATCTTCTCCATATCTTTCAACTGAAATACATCTTTCTGTTTAAAAGGTGTAAGTCAAAAACACAGATTTACTCTCCACTTGATCTTTACATTTATGAATCAATCAACAAGTATTTATTAAAGACTTCACACTACGAGCCAGGTACTGAAGCTACAAGTAGAATGAAAGAAGTCATCTCTATCTATAAAGGATTTACGTTCTAGCACTGAATTCATTCTGTGATTAATTCACACGGCTGACTTCATGGATCATAGCATTAGAGCTGGGAGCGATCTCGAAGGCCATCTAGTTCATGCCCCTCATTTTTTTTTTTTATTTTTTGGTGAGGCAATCTGGTTAAGTGACTTGCCCAGGGTCACAGAGCTAGTAAGTGTCAAGTGTCTGAGGCCGCATTTGAACTCAGGTCCTCCTGACTCCAAGGCCAGAGCTCTATTCACTGTGCCATGCCCCTCATTTTAAAGATGCAGAAATAGGCCAACAGAAGATTTGACCAAAGTCACAGGGCAATAAATAGAAAAGCAAAAAAATGAATCCAAGTTAAATCAGCAAGCATTAATTAGGTGCTTACTATGTGTTAGGTACTGTGCTGGGGATGCAAAAAAGGGCAAAGACAATCCCCTGCCCTCAAGGAGCTCACATTCTAATGGAAGAAACAACAAATGATTATGTACAAACAAGACATATACAGAGTAAACTGGAAATAATCTTGGAGAGCAGAGAATAGCATTAAGGGGGGATCAGGGAAGGCTTTAGCTTCTTTCTAAAGCACCATGTTGTTTCATTGGGGCTAGAAAAAAACATGTAGGTTGAGCAAATTTCTTGAGAGGTCAAAAGATTCTTAAGAATATCTATATATTGGGGCAGCTAGGTGGTGCAGTGGATAGAGCACCAGCCTTAGAGTCAGGAGGACCTGAGTTCAAATCTGGCCTTAGACCAAATACTTGACACTTACTAGCTGTGTGACCCTGGGCAAGTCACTTAATCCCAACTGCCTCACTAAAAAGCTGCCCCCCCCCAAAAAGTATATCTATATAGTTGATACAGATGGATCATATAATCTGGATTTTTCTTTCCCTTTTGCCCTTTCAAAGACTGGCAAGGATGATCATCATTTTATTTGGTCCAAGACTATATGGGAGGATCATTACACATATGAAATGTGAGAATAAGTAATGGTGACTGAAGGAAATTAGCATAATCTCTCTTCCTCTAATCACTAAGAACTTTTAGGAATACTGAGTTATATATACTTAAAGAATGTTGGTCAAGTTAAAAATGTCAAATAAGCATATATTATCTAATCACAAAACTTCAAATAAATAAAAACAAAAAACGTTTTTCAATTGTACTAAATTATTTGTCATTTTTTTTTCCAAATAGACGTTTGAAAACAGAAGCTTCATAGTGTTCTCTGATTTGCACAGATGGTATAATTTTTTAATGGACTGAGATTTCATTTTCTGCTAATGAGAAGGCATGATTTGAATGGATCACGTCAAGAAGAAAAAAAGGCTCAGAGAAACCATAAAAATTTGCCAAATGGCACCTGCTATTCAGGAAGCTGGCCAGTTTAGTCTGAAAGACTTGGCTCCTTCCTACCTGTATGACCTTGGGAAGTCATTTAACCTCTCTGGGCAGAAGCACACTCACCTGTAAACTTACAACCTCTAAAGTCCCGCCTAGCTCTAAATCTTTGATGATCCTATATAAAAATCTGTTCTTAACACTACCAATAATTGCCTGAATTATTGCTAATAATTCCTCTCCTTTTGGGAGAGGAGGCCTTGGCAGAGAGTCCAGACCTATGATTGTCTAAAGAACTCCCAGTGTGGGAGTACAGCCTGGAGCCCTGCGAGGTCAGGCAGCTTGTCCCCGGTCATAGAGAGAAGACAGGACAGGGCTAGGTCAGCCCTCTCATGGACTATACCACTCTCCCTCTCTCTCTACCTCACCTCATATCTTGCCAACAGAAATCTATTGAAAATGTGAAGAAAATTTACTTACTGTCTCAAAAAAGATCTCCATCATACGAGTTCTCTTCTCTTCTGCACTCAAGCCTTTCTTCTTCGACTAAAGAAAGAATACATACACTTCATTTTAAAACAAGTAGCCTATTCTGAAATTTTACACATTTTCATACATATATTAATAGGTATATAGAACATCTCTCTCCTTGTCAGTTATGGTCAAGATAGGTGACCTTCCAAGTCAGTTAGTTAAGAAACATTGAATAGATAAATGCCTGTATGTGCCAGGCACTGTGCTAAGCACAGAGGGACAGACACAAAGAACGGCAAAAGACAGTCTCTGCTCTCAAGGAATTCACAGTCTACTAGGGGAGAGGACACACAAACAATGATGCACAAACATGATCTATACAGGATAAATAAGAAATAATCAATAGAAAGAAGGCACTAGAATTAAGAGGGATTAGAAAAGGCTTCCTGTGGAAGGTGGGACTTCATCTGGAATGAAGGGAAGTCAGGAGGGAGAGAATTCTAGGCATGAGGGACAGCCAGTGAAAATGCAGTCAGGAGCAGCGGAGACCATAGCAGGGGTGGGGAACTTGTGGCCTCAAGGCCACATATGGACTTCTAGGTCCTCAAGTGCAGCCCTTTGAATGAACCCAAACAAATCCCTAGAGGGTCACATACGGAAGGTGAGGGGGAGGATTATAAAGTGTAAGAAGACTGTGAAGAAGTGTGGGGGAGAAGTTTTGAACGCCATACAGAGGAAGGAGCCACTGGACTTCATTCGGTAGGGAGACGATATGGTCAGATTCTGTACTTTAGGAAGATCACTGGCAGCTTAATGGAAGATGGACTAGAATGAGGAGAGGCTTGTGGCAGGTAGAGCAGCAGGTTACTGCCACAATCCAGTTATGAAGGCCTGTACCAGGGTGGTGGCAGTGTCAGAAAAGTTGATATATTCTAGAGATGGTGCAAAGGTAAAATCAACAGGACTTGGTAACAGATTGGATACAGCGAGTGAGAAAAGTAGAAGGTAGCATTTAGGTTTCAGGACTGGATAACTGGGAGGACGGGTACTCTCAAAAATAACAGGAAAATTAAGAAATGGGGGGAATTGGTGGGCAAAGATAATGACGTTGAGCTTAAGATGTGTATGGGACATCCAGTTCCAGATGTCCAAAAGACAGAGCCAGTCTGCTATGGTCTCATCTTTTTAAGACCAATATCTGCAACAGATACACAAGGAATACTAACATGCCAATTGATTGGACTCAATGTAAGTATTTATTCAGTGAACCTAATATTTAAGCCTTTATATAACATATAAATTTCAAATACATGATGTACAATACTGTGCAGTATCTATTAACATAAATATGTCCATAGCATGGTTTGTATTGTTTTAAAAAAAGGAAATAGTTGTATTCCTCAGAGGAGAAAAAAGTTAAGAAAAAAAATCACCTCTATGATGTCTTTACTTCAAATATCTCATGGCCAGGTTTTTAATTTCCCTGGCACAGACCTTCATTCTTTCTCCATTGTAACTGAAGGAAAGCCCTGTACTGAATTGCTTTGACATACCCAAATTTCAGCCAGTTGGTTGCCATCCTAATAACTTCCTATTTGGTCTCTCTATCTCAAACCTCTTCTCATTCCAAATTCATTCTTCACAATCCAGCCAGGTAATTTTCTGTAGAATGTTGGTCTGACCATGTCACCGTCCTCCCCCCATTCAAATTTCAGGGGCTCACTACTGTTACATTAAAAATCGTATTAGTGACTCCATTTTGTCTTTATCCATCATTCTGTGAAGTGAAGTTTCAGCTGCTTATAAGTTGCCTGATTTTGGAGAAGTCACAGGTTATGCCCCCTTCTGAATGTCACCTGACTTAAAGAATGTCATAAAAGACCCCTCTTCCTTTCACCTTAGTGAAATCAGTCCCCTCCACCATCCAGAAGCCAGATGTCTCAATCCTTATAATCCCATTTTTCCTATTTTCTACTACCTCCAAATTGTTTATTAGCTGTGTAGAAACCAATGGTCAAGGTCCTTGGCTACCCAGAGACCTGGTCCTAATTTGTTTCTCTCCAGCTTGGGGAGACAAACGAGACACAAATAAGAAGGAAAGGAATCTTTGTTCCTGGTTTGCAAGAATTTATGACATTGTAAACTAATTAGAGACTAAATTTGTGACTAAAATTTCTCTACTGTGAATTTCCAAATTATGGTTTGAATGTTTCTACAAATGTTTTTGGGCACATTTTATAGAATCTGTTTTAAGGAAAAATAAGAATAAAACTCTGTGAAAGTTACATGGAAACAGCACTTAGACCTTTTATCACTCTTTCCCTGAAGAATGACAGATTTATTGTTTTAGTGCAAGGAAGGAAGGAAGGTGATTTCACTAACTAGAGAAAAAAATGGGGTTTGCAGTTTAAATTTAAGAACTACCTATTTTAAACTTTCTCTTGACTCTGAAAAGGGAGAAGCTTATTTAAATCAGAGAGCAGCTTAAAAGTAAATAAAATTTAATCAGGAAGAATATTTTGTGTTACCACTGTATTTGTTCTATAAATGATATAATAGAACTTAATTGTTTAGGAAACTAGAAGCAAAGTCATCAAAAAGTATTGGAATAGACCATGTATTTATAAGCTTTTAAGAACCCCTATGGCAACAGTCTTGCAATTAATTGGTTTTGTATAATAAAAATCTGTGCTAAATTGTAAAGGTAAAAATCAGTGAAGATTAGCTCTAGAGATAGTCTGGATATGATTGAGAAATAAAGACTTAGAGGAATTAAGCTGGGTAGGGTTAGGTTAACCCCAAAAGGAACTGAATTGACTCACTGAATGATTTTAAAGTAAAAGAAAGAAAAGTTATGGGAAGCTGCAAATGCCACCACCAAAAAAAATTTTTTTCCCCTCTCTCTGAACATTAGCTAATTGAAAACAGGCCCTGAAATTTGAAATGCTGGCAGCTGATAGCCCTTGAGAAAACCAAGATTTAAATGTTACCGTTAGTGATTATAAATCCAAATTTGATTTGGTTGAAATTTTGTTCTGAAACTAAATCATAATGTGGTCTCATTTACAGTGAGATACCTACTCCTATTAGGATAATTGTGGTAAATTAGAACCCAATGCCAAAACCTGTGTGACATTAAACAAGTTACTGCACCTCTGTTTACTTCAGTTTCCTAACCTGTAAAGGGGATGATAATAATAATAGCACCCACCTCCCAGGATTGTTGTGGGGATCACATGGTTATAAAGTGCTTAGCATAGTGCCTGGCCTTTAGCAAGCACTATACAAATGTTAACTATTGTTATTTTATTAAATGTAATTACTCCACACTGGATTACTCTATACTGGGTTTAGATGTAATTGGCACAATATAGCAAAAATGATAAAATGAATGATTTTCTATATAAGATTATCTGAAAAAGCATTCAACTGAAATGATATCACTGTACTCCTGTTTTTCCCTCCCTCCAAATTGTATATTAACTGTGTAGAAATCAATGGTCAAGATCTTTGGCTACCCTGAGCCTTGGTCCCAATTTATTTCTGCAATCGCATGCATTGCTAAATAAATCCTTGTCTGGATGTTAACTACTCCTTTTTTATTCCACCTTTACGCCTCCACGATTAAACATAAACTCTTTTGTTGGCACTTAAAGTCCATCACAACCTGGCCCCTTCTTACCTTTCCAATCCTTTTTCAACACTGTATTCTTCTTTCTGTATTACCAAGGATGGCCTCCTCCCTATTCCACACTCAGAATGCTATCTCTTCTTTCTCTGTGCCTTTGCAAGGGCAGGGTGTAGAATGCATTCCTCCCTCACCTCTCCCTCTTGGAATCTCTAAATTCATGCAAGACTCACCTCAATAGCAAAGAACTGGAAATTGAGGAGTTGCCCATCAATTGGGGAATTGCTGAACAAGCTGTGGTATATGAACGTAACGGAATACTATTGTGCTATAAAAAATGATGAGCGGGCAGATTTCAGAAAAACCTGGAAAGACTTGAATGAAATGATGCTGAGTGAAGTGAGCAGAACCAGGAGAACATTGTACACAGTAACAGCAACACTGTGCAATAACCAACTTTGATAGACTTAGCTCTTCTCAGCAATGCAATATGATCTAAGACAATTCCAAAAGACTCATGGTGGAAAATGCTATTCACATCCAAAGAAAGAACTAAGGACTCTGGATGCATATCAAAGCATACTATTTTCTCTTTTTTTCTTTCTTGTGGTTTTTCCCTTTAGTTCTGATTCTTCTTTACAATTAGTCCACATGACTAATGTGGAAATATGTTTAATATGATTGTACATGTATAGCCTATAACAGATTGCATGCTGTCTTAGGGAGAGGGGAGAGGAGGGAAGGTGAAATTTTAGAAGTGAGAATCTTGTAAAAGTAAATGCTGAAAACTAAAAATAAATAAATTTTAAAAAAAGAAAGAAAAAGACTCACCTCAAGTACCACTTCTGCATCAAAGTCTTTTCCAAAAACCCTTAGATTCAATTTGTATATAATATATACGTACATATCTTGCCTCCCACATTTAAGAATAAGCTCCTTCAGAACACTATCTTGTCTTTGTATCACCAATGCTTAACATGGGATCTGGCATATAGTGGGCAGGTAATAAGTGTCTGTTGACTGATTATAGGCCTCAGAAAAATTAACTTCAAGGACAATCATCTACATTTTTTTGGTTTGGTATTATTAATAAGTATCATTTATTGTTAGAAAATATTAGTAGGCAACAGGTCTGTCATATAGGGGCCATAAGTCTCAAGAGTCATAAACAAGATGATAAAATGTTTACAATTGCCAGGTATGGTGGTATATACCCGTAATCAGGAGAAAGAGAAGGAGGGAAGGAAGAGGGGAGAAGGAAGGAAGGAAGGAAATAAATAAATAAATAAATAGATTTTATGATTTTTAGGGGCAGGCCTGACTCAGGTTAGTCGATTTAGGTTTGATGTTGGAATTAACTGAGACACTGAAAGGTCATTCAACAGTTAACAAAAGCAGATTAGGCAGAGCCTAGAATGGATATTCAAAAAGAATACTCCAATACTTGCCAAGGGCAGACAAAGCTCTCCTCATCTCCACTTGGAAACATACCATCAGCAGGCCAGAATCTCAAAGTCTTGAGCATCCACCAAGTCTGATGGGCTTCAATTCCACATGGATGGGCCTTTTTGTGCCCTTAGGTAATTAGGAAGTCACATCAATATGGCCAAAGGCTACCAGGAAGCATAATAAGAAAGGCACAGGCTTGAGCCTTGGCCCCTGGACCAACTGAGTCCTAAGAACAGCTTAATTGATTTTCAGGAAAAAATTAGCCTAACCTATATTGGGGGAGAAATGCCTTGTAGGAAGTGGTCCTATCACATGGCCACATAACTCTTGGAGACTAACTATTAAGACACTGAGATATTATGATTTGCATCAGTGAAAGGAGTATTAACACTTAAGGAAAAATAAGTCTTTGATGTATTAAAGCATAATTAAGAATATGCAGAAAAATACAGTAAATATTAATTAACAATTTTTATTTAGAGCATCCTAAGTGCCAGGTGTTGTATTCAAGGAGCTTATATTCTATCAGGGGAGACAACATGTACATAGATACAAAATAGATATAAAATAAATACAAGGTAATTTTTTTTGGGGGGGGAGGAAGATGTTACTTTTGGGTATAGCTCTGGAGAGCAGAACAAAAAACTTCTCCCAAAGCCTTCATAAAGAAGGCTCACAATCCAGCCATTTCTACCAGATGAACTTATTAGATTCTACTCTACTATCACCATGTATCCTCATGTAACGAGAATAGAAAGGGTGGTTGGAAGCAGGTTGTGAAGGGCCTTAAATGCCAAGCAGGAATTTATGTTTAATCTACAAGGCAACAGGGAGTCAATGGAATTTAGGGAATAGGGAAGTGATGTTTGTTTGTTTTTTTTTAATGAAAATTATTTAATCAAATTTAATAAAAATTTATTAAATTATTTGATGAAATTTAATGAAAATTATTTTGATTATAAAATCACAACAAATCAGAAGAAATAAAAAGAATGATCAGAACCTATTATGCACAACCATATGCTAACAAAACTGAGAACATAAAAGAAAGGCACAGAAGACCAAATAGAGATCTTAAATAATCTAATCTTAAAAAGGAAACAGAACTAATTATAAAAGAACTAAAGGAAAAAAAATTCTGGTACTGAGAAGTATATCAAACTTCTAAAGTTTAATTAGCAACTATGCTACAGAAATTATCCTCAAAAATTAAGAAAGAAAGCACTCTACTATAGTCCTTTCATGAGACAAATTAGTTCTAATACTTAACCCAGGGAAGGATAAAACATAGAGCTATAAACCAATACCATTAATGAATATCTGATTTAATACATTTTAAAATAAAATACTGTCAAGCAGAATACAGCAACTTAACCAAGAAATGATCCATTATGATCAAGTTGGATTTACACCAAGGAGGCAAGGATGATTCAACATTAGGAAAATAATCAACATTATTAGTCATATTACAAACAAAGCATCAAAAACTACATGGTTATCTCAACAGATGTAGGAAAAACTTTTTGACAAGATACAACATTCATTTGTACTAACAAAAAAATCCTAGGCATGGAGAGAATTTTTTTTAATATCATACAAAGCATCTAAAACAAAAAATAATCCATATAAAATGAGGATACAACTAGAACCTTTCCCAATAAATACTATAGCAAAGTAAGGATGTCCACTCTTCCCATTATTATTTGATAGTTATTTTGCTAGCAATAGCAATAAGAGAAAGAAATTAAAGGTGTAGAGACAGGTTAAAGAGAAGTTGAAACTACCCCCATTTACTGATGATATGGTAATTTACTTTAAAACCCTAGGGAGGAGGGCAGCTAGGTGGCGCAGTGAATAAAGCACCAGCCGGGGAGTCAGGAGGACCTGAGTTCAAATCTGGCCTCAGACACTTGATACTCACTAGCTCTGTGACCCTGAGCAAGTCACTTAACCCCATTGCCTAGTCCCCCTCCCAAAAAAAACCCTAGGAAATTAACAAAGATTAATTCAGATAATTAATAGCTTTAGGAAAGTTACAGGCTAAAAAAAAAAGCAAAACCTAAAAAAACCAACAACATTTTTATATAACAACAAAAGCCAAGAGGCAATAATAGAAAGGTAAATGATTCCAATTACCCATAAAATAATTGAGGATCAATCTATCAAAGCAAACACACACACACACACACACACACACACACACACACACACACACACAGAGGATACCAAAAGCCATTCCCTAATATATACGTGATCAAAAGATATGAAAAAATAGTTCTCATAAGAACAATTGCAAACCATTAATAACCATATGAAAGAAAGTTCCAAATCAAGAAATGCAAATCAAACCAACCCCAAGATTTTACTTCTCACCCTGCAAATTGGCAACAATGACAAAAGATGGGAACAGTTAACGTCGGACGGGTTATGGGAAGACAGGTATACTGGTTGGTTGATTGGTTGTTGTCCTTCATTCTCAAAGAGGACCAACATGGCATCACTATGCTAGAGTCAAGTTACAGTGTGTCCTACTGTGGCTGATCAGACCAATTACTACTTATTCTACCACAGGTCACGCACTAATAGTCCCTGTGGGATGGATTCTCTAAGTTTACATATCCTGCATTTCTCTTGAGCTATTTCAATTCTGCTTTGCTCATAGAGCACAGCACCTTCTCTGATGTGGGCATGCCATGTTGGGTGGTCCTATGTCAGTGTCTCCCATGTCACACAATCAATTCCAAAGTTCTTAAGAGAGACCTTTGTGAGTTCTCCATAAATTGGTCTTTTTGGCAAGTGCACATTTTCCGTTTGAACAATGTGGTCAGCCCATCAGAGTTGCGCTCTCTGAAGCAGAGTTTGAACGTTTGGCAGTTTAGTTAAAGAAAGGACCTCAGTGTCTGCTATCTTATCCTGCCAGGTGATCTTTGGAATCTGCCTAGGACAATTCAAATGAAGCAATTCAGTTTCCTGGCATGGTGCTGGTACACTGTCCAGGTTTTACAAGCATACAACAATGAGATCAGCACAATGGCTCTGTAAACCTTCAGTTTGATAGTCAGTCTAATACCTCTTCTCTCCCACACCTTCCTTCGGAGTCTCTCAAACACTGAGCTAGCTCTGGCAATGTGTGCATCAACGTCATTATCAGTGTGTACATCCCTGGAAAGCGCACTACCAAGGTAAGTGAATTTATCCACAGCATTCAAAACTTCTCCATTTGTTGTAACCGTTGGTTCCACATATGGATGGTGTGGTGGTAGCTGATGGAGCACCTGTGTTTTCTTGGTGCTGTTAGGCCAAAATTAGCACAAGCAGCAGAGAACTGAGCCATACTTCGTGGCATCTCAGCTTCAGAGGCACAATCATCTGCAAACAGAAAATCATGCACCAACACTCTTTCCACTTTGGTCTTGAGTTGTAATCTTTTGAAATTGAAGAATTTACCATCAGTGTGGTGGCTAACCTTGATGCCATGTTCATCTTCATTGAAAGCTTTTAACAACATGGCTGAAAACAACATGCTAAAAAGCATGGGAGCAAGAACACAGCCTTGTTTCATTCCATTGGTGACTGAGAAAGCGCAAGAGCACTGTGCATTATCCAGAACCCAGGCAAGGATGCTGTCATGAAACTGATGTACAATGCTGATGAACTTCTCCAGGCAACCAATTTTGACATAATTTTCCATAAGCCCTTGTAACTAACAGTATCAAAGGCCTTAGACAGATCTACAAACATTGTACACAGTCCTCTGTTCTGCTCCTGGCATTTCTCCTGGAGTTGCTTGGCAGCAAACACCGTATCAACCATTTCTCAGTCTTTTCTGAAGCCACACTGGCTCTCAGGTAGATGACCATCTTCCAGGTGAAGAACCAACCTATTAAGGACTCTGGCAAGAATCTTGCCAGCAATGACTAAGAGAGAGATCCCCAGTGATTGTCACAGGACTATTTCCTTTACCTTTACAGAGATGGAAATGGAGGCATCCTTGAACTCCTGGGGCATAACCTCCTCTTGCCATATAACCTGGAAAATTTCAATCAGCTTTTGTATGAGCAATGAACCCCCTACCTTGTAAATCTCAGCTGAAATAGAATCAACACCAGGTGTTTTGCCACAAGAAAGGAGCATAATGGCATTCAAAACCTCTTCTTCAGTTGGAACTTCAGCGAGGGAGGGACTGACTTCAACCTTAGGTAAACAGTCAATGCTTTCAGCATTGATTGATGATGGTCTGTTGAGAACATCATGGAAGTGTTCAGCGCATCTCTCTGGGATCGTGTCCTTATCACTAATCAATGTGGCTCCATCAGCACTGAGTAGTTGAGATGCACCATTGGTCTCTGACCCAAAAATAGCCTTCAGGGCAACATAAAAGAGCTTTGGATTGTTACTATCAGCATAAAACTGAATTTCATCTGCCTTCTTACTGAGCCAAGAATCTTGCATCTCTCTAAGCTTTCCTTGTACTTTTACTTTTGATGGCATCAAATGCTGCCTTCTTAGAGATGGATGAACTATTCTGCAGGTAAACCCTGTGGAGTTCTCATTTTTCATTTAACAGCTTCTGAATTTCCCCATCATTTTCATCAAACCAATCTTGATGTTTGTGTGAGTGTTCTGACCCAAATGAGCAAATGCAGTGCTGTACACCAAATTTCTGAAAGCTGCTCACTCCTTTTCTGCTCCACTGTTGCCAAATGTGTGTTGGCTCAACTTCCCTTTCAAGTCAGCAAAAAAACATTTCCACTTACAGAAGAGCTCTAATCTGTTGACATTAATTCTTTTGTTAGTCATTTTGCCTTGGGAACACTGCTTTTGTTGAATGAGAATATGTAGCTTGAAGAGGATAAGTCTATGATCAGTCCAGCACTCTGTACCACACACTGCCTTCATCACTCTCACATCCTGTCTGTCTCTTCTCCTCACAATCACATAGCCTATTAAATGCCAGTGTTTGCTGTGAGGATGCATCCACAGACTTTTATTGCATTTAGGTAAACGGAAGACAGTGTTGGTGATGAGAAGGTCATGAGATGCACAAGTCTTCAGTAGTAAGTGACCATTACTGTTGCTGTTTCCAACTCCATTCCTCCCTAGAACTCCCTGCCAAGTCTGGTAGTCTGAGCCTACTCTAGCATTAAAGTCACCCAGAATTATAAGCTTGTCCTCTTTTGGCACATTGATGATAAGGGTCTCCAGGTCTTCATAAAATTTTCTTTAACCTCGTCAAGGTTCATCATGGTGGGAGCACAGGCAATGATGATGGTGGTATGCAGTCTTCCCTGCAGGTGCCAATCACATTGTCATGAGGGTGTGGTTCACTGCTTTTGGTAGGTATACAAGTTTGTTGACTGGATTAGTTTTGATTGCAAAACCTACATCAGCTTCACGGCACTCCCCTTCACTGTGGCCACTCCACAAAATCACATATCCAGCTCCAACTTCAGTAAGCTGACCTTCGTTTGCCAGTCTTGTTTCACTCAAGGCTGCTATTTGAATGTGATACCTACTGAGTTCTCCTGCAACAAGAGCTGTTCGTCTTTCAGGTCTACTGGATTTTGTGTTGTCTGTAAGTGTGCTCACAGTCCATGTGCCAATGGTGAATGGAATCATCTTTGCAGACATTTTTGTACATTTTTTTTATGTTTCGACGACAGAGTGGGATTCCCCACCTGCTGCAGTAATCAGACCAGGGTTGGGTAAGCAGACAATTTTCAGGGCATCTTTTCTAGCCCCTTCCTCACATCAGGAGGTGAGCAATGTGGTCCATAAAAGGCTGCTCAGACACTATGGGGGCTGCCAAATCCCACTGCTGCTTCCAGTAAGAAACGACCGTGTGGCCTGGGCCACCTAAGTACAGGATTGTGACTAAAGCTCCCAGTATATCCGCACCTGCTGCTTCATCACTTGCCTGTCACCACAGGACTTTGAGATAAGTAGAATGGTAAAATGGTATGGATGATGTCCTTTGATTCGTGAATATATGAGATTTAAGTGAGGTAGAGTTGCACGAAGTTGTTGCCCTCACTGTTTCCTTCAGAGTCATCACAGTCCAGTGGCAGGACAGAATCAATACGACTGGTGATGGCTCAAGATGCCGTGGATGACTTTGGTATCTTCGATGTCTAACCAAGCTCTAAGCACTCCATAGTGCCTGCTTCAGCTGCCTTCATGGCCATTGGAACAAATTGTTCCCATCTGCCCATTCCCCTAGGGGAAGTCTCCATATGCATGAGGTAGACACCCCCCAATTCACCAACAGGTTTGAGAACACTTGGGTTACCTTCAACCTGGTTTAGCCCATCTGCTGAAATGGTTTACCAGGGTGTGGCCATTGTGCATGCTACAGCTTCTTGGAGTCATAGGTGAGAATTAGGTGGAACAGGTGGACACCAAGGATGGAAAGCAACCCTGAAAAGGGCTCAGCAGCCTTCACAATAGAGGTACTAGTCTTCCCTGAACACACCCTACACCCTGGTATATTAGTACACTGTTGGTGGAGTTATGAATAAGTACAATCATTTTGGAAAGCAATTTGGAATCACAGAAATAAAATTACTAACTATCTATTCCCTTAAACTCAGAGATTCCACTATAAGGCTTAAACCCCAAGGAGGCCATTAATAAGAAGAAAGTCTCCATGTATACCAAAATATTTATAACAGCCCTTTTTGTGAGAGCAGAAAATTGGAAACAAAGTAGGTGTACCTTGGCTGGAGAATGGTTAAAACACATCGTGGTACGTAAATATAATGGAATGAGAAATGATGAATATGATCATTACAGAGGAAGCATGGAAAGATCTATAAGAACAAATGCAGAGCTAAGTAAGCAGAACCAAGGAAACAATATGCACAATGATTATAACAATGTGAGTGGAAAAGAACCACAAACAAAAATCAAAAGTAAATGTCGCAAAATTACAAAGAAGTAGGCTCCAAAGAAGAAATGAGAAGATACCTCCACCTAACCCTTTGCAAAGATGGAAGGTCCATAAATATACTATATTTTCAATGTACTGATCAGTTTTGCTGAATTCTTTTCCATCTTCCCTTTTATTTTTAGTTTTAAAAAACATTACTTGGGGACATATGGAATGGCTTTCTGGAAGTGGAAGGGATGCTGGGGAGAAATTATAGTAATGTAAAAAAACAACATACATAAAAATATCTAAAAAAGAAAATCATTTTGGCAGTTGTACAGAAGATGGATTGGAGAGGGGTGGTCAAACAGAATGCTATTATAGCAGTCTTTTTTGTGTATGACAGCAATCTCGATGAATGGTGAGAAGAGCTGGAATTAGGAAACTGGGAAGATATGAAAGTAGAAACAACAAGATTTGGCAACTAATTTGGATATGTGAGATGAGGAGTCTAGAAGGATGATGATTCCCTCAACAGAAATAAGGAAGTTCAGAAGAGGGATGGGTTTGGTGGGGATAGATAATGAGTTTTGTTTTAGTCATGCCTAATTTGAGAAGCATATGTGATCTTTCAGTTCCAATGCCTAGGAATTTGGTGATGGGGGACAAGGCCTTGAGAGCTGGACATGTCAATCACAGAGTGATCTGCATAGAGGTGATAACTTGTGGAAGCTGATGAGGTCACCAAACGAGACAGTAAAGAGAAGAGGCCCAAAA